ATATTTAGTCCAATAATGCATGTTACATCTGTCTGCTTTTATTTTTAATGAATGAATCTATTTAGTTCCCCACCGTTTCTTTGGATGGATGTAATCGTATTGTCATTAATGTATCAGTGGCTGAATACAAGAGGCGCAGTGTCTTTGTTGCCTTAGAATTAGCTTTTTATTATCTGCAGAAGGGGCGAGTCCCTTCACTGTCATTTTTATACATTAGGAACCTTTTGCATTTGTAACAGCCACGGGAGGAGCACTAAATCATACACGCTGGTCTTTTAAGTTTCAGGGTCTATGATTTTTGATATACATCAAATTTCATTCTTACTCAGAGGTAATAAAGAAATAAGAGGAAAGAGTCTCCATTAGTTAAGTTTGCCCCCTGCTGACTGCATCAGTAGGTTGGTAAAAGTTGGTATTTTCAGAGTTTTTGACATTTCTTCCTGTTTTATCTAAAACGTTTAGCAAACAGTCTGCTTTTGATATTAATACTAGCAAGAACTGATTGCAACTAAACTCTTTGACAGAAACTTGTACCCCAAGTTTGCCTCTCCTTGGGCTTCCGCACCTTGTCGACCTCAAGACATCGGTAAGACATTAATTTGATGTATGACAGTCCTGAGTAGCTTTCAAGACCAGAGTCAGAGCAGGTGTCAAGACATTTGCATTAGTGCTGAGGAGGAGCAGAGAAAGGATGCAATGCAATCTTAGTATTTTTGTAAAATATTTACATTTTTAGTCATGTTTTTTTTTTCTGTTTTTAACAAAAACTGTTGTTGTGGAAATTAAAGTACAAACATACATGTGGCCCTTTAAAATTAGTGCAGCTAAAAAAACCTTCAACTATTTTATTATAAGTAGTTGGCTGTTGACAGAGTTAATTAATAAGATTTAGATTCTGGCAGGCCTCCTGGTTTTTGCTTTTTATTTATTTTTTTTTATCCAACCTGGAGACCACATTTTTGGCATATCAGATAGATTTTCAAAGCCACAGTGAATTAAAACAGTTACACACTGCTTTAGACACTCTTGTGTGTGCTGCTAACCTATATCTGTATCTGCATTTTTAGACTTCCATGTTCCATCGGAGTATTTAACAAATATCCACATAAGGGACAAGGTAACCATGAACTTGAGCTCAATGTAAGCGGTTCAAAGATTAATGTAGTAAAATAAAATTAATATACTGTCTTATCTCGACTCTAGTTGGCTGCCATCAAACTGTCTCGATACGGTGAAGACCTGTTGTTCTACCTGTACTACATGAATGGAGGAGATCTGCTACAGCTTCTGGCAGCAGTGGAGCTGTGAGTAC